TCGATGGTCAGGATGGCTTAGCCCCCGCTCTCTTTTTTTAGTGGGGCACTGACACATCCGTTGACACATTATTAATGTTAGCCTCTCTCTCCTATTCTCTCTCTCTTCACGGACCTCCCTCTCTCTCTTCACGGACTTGTCTCCTATTCTCTCTCTCTTCCCGGACCTCCCTCTCTCTCTTCGCGGACCTCCCTGACACGATGCAGCAGTAGCAATGGACGCGATGGCAGCGATGCAGCACCATTGAAGCCCTTGGGCTTGGGCATCGCCTCTCTCTCTTTATCATCCATTGAAGCCCTCTCAGCCCACACAGAGGGATGGACACGTCTCTCTGTGTAGCTGCAGCAGCAGTAGCGCATCCCTCTCTCTTTGTCTATATGCAGCCATTGAAGCCCCTGAGCTTGGGCATCTCTCTTTTTTTAGTAACTATTGAAGCCCTCTGAGCCCACACAGAAATAGAAACCCTCTTGCCCCTCCCCATTAGCAACTATTGAAGCCCTCTCGCTCGCTCAGAAAAACCCTGGCTGGCCTCCCAACTGTAGCCCACCCCATCTCTAAAGGTACTCTCTCTCTCTCTCTGTATTTGACTCAGTTAAATACAATTTGTTGTCTACAATTTCCATCGATTTGGGGTTTATTTGGGATTTTAGACAAAACCATGATGATCATATGTATCTCTATATTGGATGAGATACAAATGCATCCGATGCTTTCGCATCTCTATTTTGGATGAGATAGTTTCTCATTTGGATCTGTGTTTCCTATGAACAATAGAGAGGGAAAGTGGTTGTTGTTGTATTTTGAGGTTGAGGTGGGTTTCTGGACTGGTCTTCCTAAGATTGAATACGAAATTGAAAAATTGGATCATATAGATTAGAGAGAGAAATAGTGAATTCATTGAAGCTGCATGTTATATATTCTGGAATGTGGGTTTTTTTGTTTGTTTGCTTGAAACATTTTATCTGATATGATATAAGATTAATTCATTAGATTTGGGAGAGTTTTTTTTTTGTTGTGTTATGATAATTTGGTGAAATATTGATAATTCTTTATTTACATGTTTAAGACAAAATTAGGTCCATTACATAGGAGCAACAGATATTGTTACAGCACACGATGCCGCTTATTTAGTGTTAAAACAAATAAAAAAGAATGCCAAAGTGATTTTCTACGCAATTTTGCAAGAACCCAAGTACTCTTGCATAATATTTTTTTTTCATTGGATAAATTATTTTACTCATTGATTGCTAAGCAAGTTATCTATTATTTGATATATGACGAGATAAATCTCAGGGCAAAAAAAAAAAATACTTTGGTTCAAATAGGTACACATGCATAAAATTGAAATAGTTGAGGTTGAACCCTAAATGTCAGATCCTGGACTATGATCTTGCAAAATTTAGCCAAAAATAAGGCTTGGAGAAATGACCAAAAAAAAGAAACTTTTGTTCAAATGGGTCTGCTGTGAAACTGAAACAGTTTTTAGCTAAGGGTTGAACCTCTCCTCCCCCCCCCCCCCCCCCCCTCCTCCAAAATATTGGATCCTGGACTAGGATCTCTCAAAATTTAGCCAAATTTGTAGTTTTCTGGTTTGGATACAATGTTCGGGAAGTATTGCCCATAATTTTTCTTATAATAAATAATAGAACTCAAAAAAAGCATTTCATTGCTAGTGTAAGTACAACACAACACACTCCAATCCCAGGAGTGACCCATCTTAGTATTGTTCTTGTACATGTAAGCTTAATTTTGGGGTAAGCTAAATATTTTTGGGAGAATTTAAAACCTTCTTACAGAGCGAGTGTGGTGGCGCATGTGCTTCTCCATGAGATCCAAAACTCTTCTTGCACATACATGCTTAACTTTACAATTTCAGAGAAAGAGAGAGGCCTTTTGGTTGATTAATACTGAAAATTACTCATACTAATGTTTAACCACTTTCCATGTTGCAGATTGATTTTATTCTAGGCAAGAACCCTCGAAAGATGAGCTATATTGTGGGTTTCGAAAACCACAACCCAAAACATGTACACCATAGAACAACTTCAATCCCTAAGAACAAGATCAAGTACTCTTACAAGGGTGGGTGGAAATGGGGAGGGACACGCCCAAACCTAACCCAAACACACGTGTGGGGGCAATGGTGCCAGGACCCGACAAGCACGATGGTTTCAAAGATGTAAGAGGAAACTACAATGACACCAAGCCCACTCTCGCTGGCAATGCTACTTAAGTGGCTGCTTTGGTTGCTCTCTCCTGTGAGTCACATTCCATCGACAACAATATCATCTTCTCTGCAGTGCCACCCATGTTCCCTACTCCCCCGCCCTCTCTAGCTCCTTGGAACCTTGAGACAGAGATAGAGAGAGAGATATAGAGGGAGAGAGCCACCACCATCCATTTTAGGATGGCGGTGTTTACTTGTTCTTAAGCTAGAAAGAGAGGGGCGCTAGAGAATGGGGAGAGGTTACATGGGGTCTCTGATGTTGGAGGTTTGCTTGCACTTAATCTTTATTGTATTCATATTTTGTAGGTACAATATTCTTGATTGTTTCGCACTCTCTATGTGCTCTGTGTGACATATAGAGTGATACTGTGTATTTGCTATTACTTTTTGACTCCCCAAAGAGGGATGCTAATGATAAAAGAATTATGAAATTTGTGCTCCTCCTTTTGTGCATCTGGTTTCAATATTTGTGAACTCTTTTTGAGTCATGGGACTCTCATTTGAGCAAGATTTCTATAAAGATCCAAAAAGGATGATTAAACTAGAAGTTATTAAACTTAATTTAATTTGTAAGCCATTCTAAAGCAGAGCATTTGGAGTCTTTCATCACCTTGATTCTTATGAGAAACTTGTGATCTTGTGCAGTTTAGGCCACTTCAGAAACTACCCAAAACATATATTGTGGTTGTTTTACTATTGCCAGCAGTGACTGCTTAAGATGCACAAGTGCGCATTGGGTAGAAAATCTACTGCCAGCATTACTATTGCTAGCATTGGGTAGAAAATCTACTAGGGAGTATTTGTTTGATCTAAAATTTTAGGATCCGATACAAAATCACTAGAATGTTCTCAACAAAGAAAACTGGATATTATAAGCACTTAGATTTCACTGTCCAAATACGGGTTGATTTCCATTCGATCTGAAGACATTATATTTTTAGGCACTTAACAGAATGCTTGTGAATCCTTTTTTTTTTTTTATGAGGATGGTAGTCTGATCAAAAGGAGGATCCAGGCATCCCACCTTTGAGGGATATGTGGATGATCTCAATGAAATGAGCATGGAAATTTGTTGAAAAATACATCTAAAACTCCTTGCTGATTTTAGCCAGAGAATTTCATGTAGCTTGGGCTTATAGTTTAGTAGCTAAGAGCAGGAACAAGTTTATATAAGGTGCCAACCTTATATTGTAGAAGTAAGGCACGTTTGAAAAATCTATCTGAAAGGTTGTTCAGATATCAAAACCCTATAGTTAATCATCTTGACCTTGAGATTGTACACTTAACAAATTGAAAGACTCACAATTAGCGAGACAGGCTCTAGTGATAATATATAGCATCTAATAACAATTTGAAATACATTCTACTCATCTAAAAGCCTTTCAAGAAACAGGTTGACAAATTATTGCCATAGTGATAATACATTGCATTTGATAACTATAATATTACATACAATTCATCAACTACCTGCCAAATGGGGTAGTCCATTCAATAACAAAATTATTCATATAAAGTTCAGTAGTCCTGCCCATTATCAAATAATGGTTCGTTCCTTGTACCCAATCACTTTACATATCACCTAACAACCCAAAAAGAAGTGAAAAGAGTACAATGGCATACAACCTATGTCTTTTCTTTGAGTGAATGGCATAAAACCTACATCAATAATGGCAATAGTTTAACAACAAACTTTTCAAAAAAAAACAGCAACAGAGCCCCTCCTTTGAAGTTGTTCCATATGAATTGTCCTCTCTGCCTGAGACATAAAACACATTTTGATAAGTGACAATAGTGTTCCAAATGAAATTACAAATATGAACTTCCACGCACATACAAATGTTTCAAAATGAACTTGCAAACATGACTACTAAACAATTGCTTCTTACCATCAACTCACGTCTGCTAGCTTCTTATGGGTCCGAAGCTTATTACGTGTTTTGTTCTTAGCACTATAAGAGGAAGATAAAATTGTAACAAATAGATACTACATACTTGTGATATAAACTCAATGCAACAGGGGCGAAAAAACCCAATGGCCAAAAACAAAACTGCAACAAAAAAGCATAAAGGGAAACAAAATGGGAGAGAAAGATAATTGAAAAAATAAATAAATGTTTGTAACATATGTATTCTAATTTCTAAGAGTAAGTGATTCATTATATGGTGCATCAGATGCCACATGAAGATATTGAACAGAAATAAGAAACTCAATTTATTTCAATTTTAATAATACCAATCATGCATTCATCAGGCCACAAATAACATGTTAATTTGTAATTTTGTAGCGTGCACTAGCAGCATGCATTCATCAGGCCACAAGTAACATTTTCCGCAATTTTAGTTCGATACAAATTTAAACATCAGCGATCCTGTCCTGAAAAAAGAGTATTGATGGTAATTACAAATATTATACAAGTATCGTGATACTCATTCCCTTTCAATGGAATCCATTTTTGTTTCCATTGTTACTATGAAAGAATTGGGAAGCCATTAAACAGTCCTGCCCTGTGTTCCCAAACAAGCACATTTCTAACAAAATTCAGCAAATATTTTATGCCACATTCATGTAATATTCATTTTGGGAATAAGGTAGCTATGGACGGGGAAGAGTATATACAAAGACATATATATTCACAGATATTTGCATCTACAAGATATTTTTTGGGTATCTTTTATCTCACCATGCAATGTAAGATTACCATTATGACCAATTACATTTTACAAAACTGGAAGTACATGAACGATCATTCACCACAATGGAGTCAAGAACCCATGAGGCTCTAAATTTTTAATACCCGTAAAGATACATGAGAAAAAAGAAGAAAAAGAAGAAGAAGAAAGGTATATGGAAGTAAGAAAGCCAGTAGACTTCTTCAATAGAAAACCTCAGCCAAACAACTCGAGTCATCTGATTTCAACTAGTCACACCAAAGCTTGTTCTCAATCAAAATTTTTCACAGAATTGATCTTAGATTAGTTCTATAGAACTAATTTGACATTCTTTTTTATTTGTTTTAACACTAAATGAGTAAGTGGCATGGTGTGTTGTAACAATATCTGCTGCTCGTGCGTAATGGACCTAATTTTGTCTTAAATATGTAAATAATGAATGATCAACATTTCACCAAATTATCATAACACAACAAAAAAAAACTCCCCCAAATCTAATGAATTAATCTTATATCATATCAGATAAAATGTTTCAGCAAACAAACAAAAAACCCACATTCCAGAATATATAACATGCAGCTTCGATGAATTCACTATTTCTCTCTCTAATCTATATTTCAATTTCGCATTCAATCTTAGGAAGACCAGTCCATCTCAACCTCAAAAAACAACAGCAACCACTCTCCCTCTCTATTGTTCATAGGAAACACAGATTCAAACGAGAAATTATCTCATCCAAAACAGAGACGCAAAAGATCTGATGCATTTGTATCTCATCCAATACAGAGATGCATGTCGTCGTCATGGTTTTGTCTAAAAACCCCAAATCGATGGAAATTGTAGATAGCAGATTGTATTTGACTGAGTCCAATACAGAGAGAGAGAGAGAGATTACCTTTAGAGATGGGGTGGGCTACAGTTGGGAGGCCAGCCAGGGTTTTTTTTGAGAGAGTGAGAAGGCTTCAATAGTTGCTATTGGTGAGGGACGAGAGGGCTACTATTTCTGTGTGTGCTCAGAGGGCTTCAATAGTTACTAAAACGAGAGAGATGCCCAAGCTCAGGGGCTTCAATGACTGCATATAGAGAGAGAGAGAGAGGGATGTGATGCTGCTGTTGTAGCTATAGAGAGAGAGGTGTCCATCCCTCTGTGTGGGCTGAGAGGGCTTCAATGGCTGATAAAGAGAGAGAGGCGATGCTCAAGCCCAGGGGCTTCAATGGCTGCTGCATTGCTGCCATCGCGTCCATTGCTACTGCTGCATCGCGTCCATCGCTACTGCTAAACACTGCTAAACATAGAGAGAGGGAGGTCCGCGAAGAGAGAGAGGGAGGTCCGTGAAGAGAGAGAGGGAGGTCTGTTAAGAGAGAGAATAGGAGAGAGGTCTGTGAAGAGAGAGAGAGAGAGAGAGAGAGAGAGGAGG